TATATAGTTACAACATTGCAAAATTTTGTAGTTTTTGTTTAATATATATTCAACATTGCAGTTGTATCTGATTATCAATGTTGAAAAATCAACATAAATTTCATGCAGAAAAACATCCGCACTTCTATCTTCAATGTTGCATCAAAGTCTCATCAACGTTCTTTGAATGTTTTGTGCTGTATGGGTATTATTTAGTATGTTTATCATTGTTGTGTTAGCACTGGTCCATACGGATGTTTGGAAGATCAAGGCAAGAATTTATATTTATATACATATATATTTATGTTTATGTATCTCATGTACTTGTATTATAATAAATATGGACATTTTCACTACAATAAGTATGGTATTTCTTTAAATTTATAATAATTTTTTTGAAGACATAAATACATATAATTAAATAGACTATCTTTATAAATAATATTAAATTTCATATATCTTTTAATCTACAAGCAAATATTACATGCTAATTAACGATTGCTCTAAATGAAATATTACATACAAATTAACAATCGTATGAATTAATCTTGAAACGTAATAAAGAAATCAGATTTCTATATGATTTCAGTAAAGTTCGATATATTTCAGTAATTTTGATCGACATTTCAATGAGAGAATTTTCAAATTCTAACATGTAGAAAAATTAAAAAATTACATTTTAATACATTAGTCAATTATCATCAATTATCAGCGAAATTCAGCACAATTTCGTTATTTAGTCAAAACTTTTCACAAAGTTTTTCATTGGTCAATAAATGAGGTACATTAAATATTTATTTATAATTCATTATAAATTGTAATTCTTTCATCAAGTTTCAGCGCAATTCAGAAAAATTTTCAAAATTATTGAAAAATGTTTTTACGAATTTTTTTCATCAATATTTCAATAAAGTTTCAATACAATTTACTTATAGCGAATTCGGTAGCTTGCACTAGTGCGCACTGAGTGCGCATTAAGGCTTGTTTACAGTACATTCTTATATTTAAGATCGTGTCTTAAATACATATTTAAAAACATTTTAACTAATAAAATGATTCGTACGGATGTTATACATATCATATTATGGTTAAAAATATTTGAGAATTTATTTGAGAATTATTTAAGACAATCTTTAAATATAATAACATACTATGAACAAGCCTTAGTGCGCACTCAGTGCACACTAGTGCAAGCAACCGAATTCGCTATTAGTTTTCATTATAATTGAGTAAAGGACCCCGCACAAACCTTATAGAAAATGGGTCCCGGTGGATTTGGCTGAAACTTTGGAAATTTGTAGTTTACGTGATCCTGATGAAAAGTTCTCATTGCCTCAACTTGATTCATTGAGCCATATGAGTCCTAGGAACCGTCGAAAGTAGGAAATAAGCGACCATCGCCACTATAGGTAACCATCTGGTAATTCCTATCCCTTCCCTCTTCCCATTTCTCC